GCGGGGTCCGATGGAGGCGGCCCTGTGGGCGGAGGGGCAAGGGGGGGGAGACGGCGGAGGAGGTATGCGGGAGGAGGAGGAGGAGGGAGAGGAGGAGGGAGAGGAGGAGGAGGAGGAGGCGGAGGAGGAGGAGGAGGAGGAGGAGGAGGAGGAGGAGGAGGAGGAGGAGGAGGAGGAGGAGGAGGAGCAGGAGAAAGAGGAGGAGGAGGAGGAGGAGGAGGAGGAGGAGGAGGAGGAGGAGCAGGAGGAGGAGGAGGAGGAGGAGGAGGAGGAGGAGGAGGAACAGGGTAAACTCAAGGCTCACCAACGATAGTGAACCCTCCGTCCAAGTTCGCTCTCCATAGTCCGTAGTCCCCTGCTAGAAGGATTCATCTCACTGAAGGAAGGGCCCCGTTGGAAAGCAACCGTTTAAAAATCCTGAGCTGTGCCAGGACACCATTCCTGGGATTTCAACGCCGCGAATCACAATTTCTGTTGAGTCTTGACGATGCTGGGTGGTGCCAGAACGCAATTCCTGGGACTTGAGCACCACGCATCAGCGTAACTGGCACGTCCTGACAGTCCGACATCGGGCCAAGATATTATGGCCGGGACGTTAACCACGATAAGTATTGACACTGTCTTGAACTCTTACAACGAATGCGCGCGGCGCTACGGCGGGAGCCACATTTTGAAAGAGAGCCGCCCTTTCTTCGTGAAGCATTTGCGTGTTCTATAGCCAGACGTGCGCGGCGCTGAACACGAAGTGCCCTCCGGCCATGAAGCGGGTGCGATGTTTTAAGGCAGATGTGCGCGGCGGTAGGGCGAGAACCACATTTTGCAAACGTGCCGTCCTCCATCCGTGCCGTCCTCCATCCGGAGATGAGCATGATGATGGCGATGCTGATGATGATGATGATTATGATGATGATGATGATGATTATGATGATGATGATGATGATGATTATGATGATGATGATGCTGATGATGATAATGATGATGCTTATGATGATGATCATGCTGATGTTGCTGAGGATGATGATGATGCTCCTGATGATGATGATGATGCGGATGATGATGGTGAGGATGATGATGGTGATGGTGATGATGGTATTGGCGATGCTTATGATTACGATGATAAGGATGGTGCTGATGATGATGACGATGATGATGCTGCTGATGCTGATTATGTGGATGACGATGATGATTATGGTGATGGTGGTGGTGATGGTGGTGACGATGATGATGGTCGAGAGGCTGATGACTATGATGATGATGCAGATCCTGATGCTGAGGATGGTGATGATGATGATGATGATGATGATGATGATGATGATGAGGATGATGATGATGATGATGATGATGATGATGATGATGATCATGATCATGATGACGACGATGCTGATGCTGATGATGATGACGATGCTGATGATGATGACGACGATGACGATGATTGGTGATGGTAATGGTGAGGGTGATGATGTGGATGCTGATGATGATGATGCTGATGGTGATGGTGGTGATGATGATGATGTTTACTTTCATTATTGTTATGATTACTGTAATCACGATTGTTGTACATAATTATTATCATCCCCATTCATATCATCAGTATTGTTATCCTCATTCGCATTAATATCGTTTTCCCTGCTTGTTCCTATTCGTATTAGTGTTGTTCGTCTGCTAGTAGTATTATTATTCTGGTGGTGGTGGTGATGTTGTTGATGGTAATGATGATGCTGCTGATGTTAATGCTGATGATGGTGCTGAGGATGGTGATGATGATAATGCTGATGCTGCTGCTGATGATGCTGCTGATGACGATGCTGACAATGAGGAGGCGCAGGAGGAGGAGGAGTAGGAGGAGGAGGTGTTGGAGGATGAGGCAGACGAGGAACATGATGATAATGCTGCTGTTGATGATGATGAGGATGAGGCTGATGATGTTGATGATGATGATGGTGATGATGATGATGATGATGATAATGCTGATGCTGATGCTGCTGATTCTGATGCTGCTGATGCTGGCGGTGATGATGATGCTGCTGCTGATAATGATGATGCTGATGCTGATGATGATGATGATGATGCTGATGCTGATGATGGTGGTGATGATGGCGATGATGGGATTGATGATGATGCTGCTGATGATGATGATGATGATGATGATGAGGATGATGATGCTTATGATGATGATGGTGGTGGATGTGGTGGTGATGATGATGATGATGCTGATGCTGATGATGATGATGATGTTGATGATGCTGATGCTGCTGCTGCTGATGCTGCGGCTGCTGCTGCTGCTGCTGCTGATGATGATGATGATGATGATGATGATGCTGATGATGATGATGATGATGATGATGATGATGATGATGATGATGATGACGAGGGGGAGGAGGAGGAGAAGGAGGAGGAGAAGGAGGAGGAGGACGACGACGAGGCAGAGGAGGAATAGGAGGAAGAGGAGGAGGAGGAAGAGGAGGAATAGGAGGAGGAGGAAGAAGAGGCAGAGGAGGAATAGGAGGAGGAGGAGAAGGAGGAGGAGGAAGAAGAGGAAGAGGAGGAGGAGGAGGAGGAGGCAGAGGAGGCAGAGGAGGAGAGGAGGAGGAGGAGGGAGCAGGAGGAGGAGCAGCAGGATGAGGAGGAGGAGGAGGAGGAGGAGGCGGAAGTTACCGCTCGCGTCCGCCAGCGTCCCCGCCACAGCGGCGCACCCCCGGCCGCCCGAGGCCAGAGGCGGGCGGCGTCGCCCTTGGCGCGCCCGCCACAGGTGCTCCCGGGCGGCGGCGCCGCCGAGGAACCCCGCGCGGGGAGGCCCGTTCTCCGTGAGTCAACATAGGATTAGATGGAGTCTACGGAGGAGGAGGAGGAGGAGGAGGAGGAGGAGGAGGAGGAGGAGGGGAGGGGAGGGAGAGGGAGAGGGGGAGGGGGAGGAGGGGGGAGGAGGAGGAAGAGGAGGAGGAGGAGGAGGCAGGTGGGAGGAGGAGGAGGAGGAGGGGGAGGGGGAGGGAGAGGGGGAGGAGGGGGAGGGGAGGAAGAGGAGGAGGAGGCAGGTGGGGAGGAGGAGGAGGAGGAGGAGGAGGAGGAGGAGGAGGAGGAGGAGGAGGAGGGGGAGGAGGAGGAGGAAGAGGAGGAGGAGGAGGGGGAGGAGGAGCTCTCCATCCTCCCTTCTCCCCCGTCCTACCTGACGGCCTGGAATTCGAGGGTGCCGACGGGGGGGAGAACGGATACTACTTTTACTCGAATGATTTCCTTTCCTTCGTCCCTGGCGGCGGCGGCGGCGAGCTGAACGAGGACGACTACGCGGCTGCGGCGGCTGCGGGCGCCTCTGCACTCACCTCCCCTGCGATTGCGATCCCAGGGGTAGATCGGCCAGGGGAGGCAGAGCTGAGGATCGCGGAAAACTTGGGGGGCAGTGGCCCTGATCGGGTATCAGCAGGGTGGGGGAGGGGGTAGTTATTAATACGGAGCGTTGACGGCCCCCTTCCCGAATAGGGGAAGATCAGGTTGTGGAAGAGGGAAGGAGAGAACCATTAGATCATCTGTGCAAAGACGGCAGGCTGGGATAAACGACAAACTATTCATTTGGCGGGGTTGGCATTTACCCTTCGCGGTGCCCATGAGGCGACGACTTCTTATGAAGGACAAAGGTTCATTGGGCAGTTGTGGCCGATAGCCTTCGCCCCCAGGCGTGGTGCCGTGTACTGCGGTTCATGCGCTGTGCTCTACTGATGCGCTGTCCGATGGTGACAGCTCGGAGGACAGGGGGGAGTTGCCAGGCGAAGTGACCGGCAAGCGGGTCGATCTTGTGACAGAGCTGGGTCGTTTTCAGAAGTTGTGTCCACGGTGAGGTGCACGGTCGGGCCGAGGTATAAGATCGAGGTCGGTTCGGGTAGGGTGCCCTCATGCTCTTCGTGCTTGTTGGTGTTCTTGTGCATGCTGGGGGGAGACCCTCGAGTGTTCTTCAGTTTGGCCGGCGGAGGGTCTCGTGTTCTTGAATGATGATATAGTGTCCTAGATCTGGCCGTACGGCAAACATCGGCGCAGGTATGTCCAGGAGGGGAAAAATCACAGACACAGTTCATCGTCGATTCCCAGGAAAAGATGGGAAACTATAGGAAGTGTGGGAGGGAAGACGAAACCGCAGAAGATATAGGAGACGATGGGGAATCCTGGGATTTGTGTCCATTTATTCGTGTGTCCCTTGGCCGCCCTTTCAAGTGGGAGGGGCGCGAGGGAGAGGGTCCCCGCCACTGCCCGTTCGGCTGGTTGCCCGCCCGCCCGCCTCGAGGACCAGGCCCGCTGGAGCGCCCGTGTTCGTGTGCGCCCCGCCAGTCCGTTCGACGTGACTTGGCTCATCGAGAATATCAGAGCGTGAATTACCTACCCCGCTTTCGCTTCCAGGCAAAACCAAGTCATACCACGCGCCTCCTCGTCAAGCGGCCTGACCAGGACAGGCCGTAGTTCGGCATCGCTTGGTATCTCTTGGAAGCGAGGGTGGACAAAAGCGAGGTAGGTTTGTTTGCCCCCTAGAATCGAAGGACCCCTGACCCTGATGAGCACCCCTGAGATCCTGACGACTCCATTTTCTCGAGCCGGGCGTGTTCGCCGGATTTCGGCCCGGGGACCCTCACAGTTCGATCCGGCTCGGAAAGTGATGCAGAACGACGGGGTCTTAGGACTCCCGGCGTGATTTTTCTTCCATTTTTCGAGACGTCGAATCCCAGGGACGATGAAGACGTGGCCTCACTGAGGCCCCCGTGCTTGCATCGGGGATCGTAGTCCTGGGTCGTTTGTCTGGCTTGATGCATCTGCACACCAGACCCCCTATCCCTATTGTCTTGGGCCTCTGGACTCCGGGCCGCTCCCAAAGGCTCCGAGGTGTTATTGCTTGTCATTGGCCACCGCCCCGCGGCAGTGCCGCCCGCCCGCCCGTTCGGGTTCGCCCGCCCGCCCGCGAACGCGTGTCTGCGCCCGCTTTGCCTTCGTCTCCACTCGCCGACCCGTCACTCTGGTTCCCCCTCGTGCCCCTCGCATTCGCTCTTCCCCGTGCTCTTGCTCTGGACCTGCCCCGTTGGTTCAAGGGTGGGCAGACCCCCTACGTCGTGGAATACATTTGAGTCGGGCCTGTCCCTCTACAGGAGGAGTATTCAAAAAAACAGTCAAGCAATAGTCTGGGGACGATTTTTTGGACCATTTTCGAATATTCTAGGGTATTTTTGGACTATTTTTCATTTTTCGTCCAAAAGCCGCCTGTATGGGGGACAAGCCCGACTTAATAATACATCCATATCGTCTCTTACCGCCAATCCTCCACATTGTAGCTTCGGGGCCACGGGCAGGATGGCGAGGGCGGCGCTCCGCGCCGCCCTCGCGGCGGCCACCTGCAGGGCCGCCCTGGCGCTGCACTCCGCTCTGGGCAGCCAGTCGGACGAGGCGCTCCACCTGTCGCTGGAGGAGGCGCTCGGCCCCTCGGGCGGCAGCGCCGGGCGCGCGGAGGAGAGGGCGAGGCACGTGCCTGCCGCGGTCGTGGCCGAGCTGGAGGGCAGGCGGCGGGAGCTGGAGCGGCTCCAGGACGACGCGGGGCCCGCTGCGGCCGCGCTCGGCGCGGCCTCCGCGGTCAGGCGGCACGGGCTGCCAAGGGAGAAGAGTCTGTGGCTGAGCGGCAAGTCGCGGCAGGCGATGACCAACTACAACGACGTGCAGTACGTTGGCTTCGTGGAGGTAGGGGTCGAAGAAGAAGAAGAAAAATATGAAGAACAATACTAAGAAACGCCATACATATACAGTTTTGGCGCTCAGCGCGGATTTCTTGGGTCCGCGCTGGGCCCCCCCTCGGCGGCGACTCCGGCGCCGCCGCTGGCGCCGCCGCAGATCCAAGAAATCCGCGCGGAGCGCCAGCAGTTTTGTATGGCGTTTTTTTTCTTCCTTTAGGTAGGGGGCCAGACCATCTCAGGCATCTTCGACACGGGCTCCTTTGACCTGGTGGTATTCTCCGAGGTCTGCCAGACGTGCGGCCAGGCGGCCAGATACAACCCCGCCCTGAGCGCGAGCCACACCCAGGGGAAGCTCACGTCTAGCCAGGGGTACGGCAGCGGCACCGTGGTCTCGCAGGATTCAGGAGGGGAGCAAGACGCACACACACAGACACAACGAATAGCCGATTCCCAAAAACAATGAAGAACTATTGGAAGTGGGGGGAAGGCGAAGCCCAAGAAAACATTGATTGGAGAACCTGGAGAATCTTGGGATCTGTGTCTATTTATTTGTGTGTCCCTGGGCCTCCTCAAGGATGCCTTCGACATTGTCTCGGTCGGACCGTACACGCCCAGGAACCAGTCCTTCTGGGAGGTCACCGATGCCGATATGCCTGTGCTGGCCTACTCTATGTTCCAGAGCATCATTGGCCTTGGCCCACCAGAGGCGCCCCTCGTTGACGCCGAAGACCGCTTGGCGAAGCTGTTGGACAACATATCCAGCTACACCGGCGCGGGTCGGGCGCCGCCTGCCGACTTGGCGAAGGCCGAGGCACACACCAGAGCGGTCGCGGTGGCGATGCAAACGAGAACCATGGTGCTTGAGTCGTTCGAGTCGAAGATGTTCTCGATTTGCCTGGGTAGGCAGCCCAATTCAGACGGCTACGTTATCTGGAGTGACACCGCGCCGCTGGTCAAACCTGATTACTTCCAGCGGGTCCGCGTGACGGGTAACCACACCTGGAGTACGACGCTGGGTGAACCCAAGTTCGAGTACGACCCAGCCGTCAATGATAAACAGTTCGACAAGGACAACAAGTTTAACGGCCTGACGCTCGGATGCGAGAACGGATGCGGGGCGCTCCTGGACAGCGGCACGTCGCTCTTGGCGATGCCTGGAAATCTTGTTAACGAGCTCGTTAGGCTCACGCTCGAACCTGGGTTCAATTGCAGCAATCTGTGGGAGCTGCCTTCGATTAAATTCAAGCTCGGCGGCCAGGAAGTCGTCTTGCCGCCCGACGCTTACATATCAGAGGTGGACGATTCTCTCGGAGTGCCAGCATACCTCCAGAGCTTCGTGCGCCTTCGACGCGTCCGGGGGCGGGCCTCGCAGGAGCTTCGACCTCGGCTTCAGCGTGGCAGGGGCGCAGAGGCGATGGGATCTCGCAGGGGCTCGGAGTCCCAGAGGCCAGGGGCCCGCTGCGACCTCGTGGTGATGGTGTCCTCTGCCGACTCCGTCCACGGCCCGCTGTGGATCCTGGGCGTGCCCTTCTTCAGGCAGTACTACACCACCTTCGAGGTGTCGGGTCGTTCCAACGAGAACCGGGCTGTCCACCTCGCGAAAGCCTCCGACACCTGCCATCCGGCCTCTCCGGATGAACACTTGAAGTTCCCCCCACGGACGCAGCTTGGCAAGCGTCTCATTGACCCGACCAAGCTCTGGATGACGCCGTCCACATACAGTGCCCTCAGCTCCGATTACGTATTCCTATGATCCCTCCGACGTTGTCTGCTTCTGTGGCTCCTAGATTCCTCGGGGTGGAACTTTTCCTAGACTATAGGTGCGAGATGTCGGATGGGGGTCCCCGCTCGAATGGGAGCCCCCCTCGGGGTCCGAACGCTCGCACGCATGCCTGTAGCGCCTTCGCCGTCTTTTGCCCTCCCGCGTCCTCCTTCCTGTACGTAGGTTTGAGCGTGCACTGTTCTTCCATCACTGCTGGCATTGCGACGATGCTCTTGACCTTTCCTGAGCGGCCCCGTGGCCTGTCGGCCTCACTGGTCCTCGACCTTCCGAGTGCTGCTCTCGCTCTTGCTCGGGCTCTGCCCTCGCGTTTGGCGAAACACATGGTCCTTTTCTTGTCCCCCGCAGTGCGTTCGAGGCCCCCGTTCCGCTGCGACCGTCTTCCGTGCGGGCCAGTTCCGCGTTTTTCCGTCCCGCCCGGTTCCGCTCGGCGAGGCCTCACCCAGCGGTCTTGGGCCACTCAGGCGTCGGGGCACTCGGACGCAAGGCCTGGGCAGGGGCACTGCGAAGGCGATGTGCCGTCCGGGCTGGAGATTTGGAAGTGCCTTGGAAGAGGTGTTGTCAAGACCTCCTCGGGCGGGAGCTCAGAACGATGGGAATATCGGACCCCCATGTGCAAGGACAACAATTCCCCATGAAGGGGAGCTATCATGATGGATGCATGGTGGATACAGAAGCATCGAGGATTCGGGTAACATTATTGTTGTTGGTGTTGTTCTGGTTGTGGTTGTGGTCGTGGTTATTGTTGTGCTTGTTGTTAGTGTTGTTGTTGTTGTTGTTGTTGTTGTTGTTGTTGTTGTTGTTGTTGTTGTTATTGTTGTTTTTGTTGTGACTGTTGTTGTTGTGGTTGTTGCGGTTGTGGTCTTGGTTGTTGCGGTTGCTGCTGTTGGTGTTGTTTTTGTTGGTGTGGTAGTGGTTATGGTTGTGGTTGTTGTGGTTGTGGTTGTGATGGTTGTTGTTGTCGCTGTTGCGGTTGTTGATGTTGTTGTTGTCGTTGTGATTGTTTTTGTTGTTGTTGCTATTGTTGCTGCTGCTGTTGGTGGTGTTGCTGCGGCTGCTGCTGCTGCTGCTGTTGTTGTTGTTGTTGTTGTTGTTATTGTTGTTGTTGTCGTTGTTGTTGTTGTGGTTGTTGTTGTTTCTGCTGCTGTTGTTGTTCCTGTTCCTGTAGTTGTTGTTGCTGTTGCTGTGGCTGTTGCTGTCGTTGTGGTTGTATTGTGGTTGTGGTTGTGGTTAGTGTTGTTGTTGCTGTTGTTGTTGTCGTCGTTGTTGTTTTTGTTGTTGTTGTTTAACTCTCATTTCAGAACAGTAATTATGGTCGATCCCCCCTCACGGGTGCATCTTGTTTTTCTCAATCAAAGTGTGCCCCTCGACGCTCGCACCCTGTTTTTTTTGCGTGGGAAGTCTTCGTGCTCAAACTGTGCCCCTGGACCCCCGGATTACAACAACAACGGCTCCCGCTTGATGCTTCCTCCAAAGTTACTCAGGACCCGCGCTCCCGCCTTAGACTTCCTCACAATGTATTCAGGATCGGTGCTCCCGCTTGTGACTTCCTCGCAATTTAGTCAGGACCCCCGCTCCCATCTGAGACTTCCTCACAATTTACTCAGGAACGGCGCTCCCGCTCGAGACTTCCTCGCAAGTGATTCAAGACTTCCTCGGTACTTAATCAAGACCCCCGTTCCCGCCGGAGAACCCTTCACATTTTATACAGGAATTGCGTTCTCGCATGTGACTTCCGTACAATTTATTCATAATCGCGCTTTCGATGCTCAGGAAACACGCTGCGCCAAGGACGCCGCCGCAATTTACTTGTGAATCGCGCTCTCGCCTTACTCAGGCATCCCGCTTGAAGTCCCACCCGCCCGACCCGCCCGTGAGGGGATCGCCCGGCCGTCGTGGGCTCCCGCCCGAGACTTCCTTCAGGAACGGCGTTTTCGCCTAGGGCTTCCTCGAACGTTCACGCTCTTACCTTCCCTCTCCCTCCTCCCTCTCCCTCCTCCCTCCTCCCTCCTCCCTCCTCTCCTCCCTTTTCTCTCTCCCTCCTTTCTTCCCTCATCCTTATGCCTCTCTGCCCTATCCCCTCTCCCTCCTCTCCCTCCTCCCTTCTCCCTCCCCTCTCCTGCCTCCTCCCTCCCCCTTTCTTTCTCTTTTTTTTCTTTCTCTCTCTCTCTCTCCCCTCTCTCTCTCTTTCTCTACCTCTCTTATCTGTGCTTCTCTCTCTCTCTCTCACTCTGCCTCTAATCAACCGCCCCCCTCTTCGCTCCTTCTCTCCTGGCGTGTTGCCTCTTTCTTCGTCCCTCCCCCTCCCTTCCTCCCACTCTCCATCGTTCTCCCCCTCTTTTGCTGGGCCCACAGCAATTCCAATGGCGGGCACATGTACGCCCACGATGGATTGTCCGCCCGTTCAGGTTTGCCCGCCTGTCTAAGCCCGCCGCGCCCCGCAAAGAGAAATAATCCCCCCCAACGGGGTGTGGTCGAAGACGAGACGGGCGGGTATCGAGGGTGTGGGGAATTCGTTTTGAAT